ATTTCCCCTTTGTTAATTTAGTGACTTCCACGGTTAATCATTTCCTTGTATTGATTAAGCGATTCCTGCCTCTGCAACCTCATCTCCTCGTTGAACTTCTTTATAAATGCCTCCACTGGCCAATTCAACTCGTCCTGACTCAGCGAGGGTTCCTTTCTCAGCTTCAGTACTGAAGCTAGGGAGGAGCTCGCTTGCGCCGGTGACAGCTGGAAATTGGTCCGGTCCTTGAACGTTTCCGATTTCTTCACCACCGGCAACGGCTCAGCCAGCGGAATCCACGTTCACCTGATTCTCCCATGTGTCCTTGAACGTCTCTGATTTCTTCAGGTGCCTCGACAACGGCATTGCCTTCTTCTCCGTAATCATTTTCCCCGTGCTCTCCACCGTCTCGCGTCGTTTCGGCTTCGCCACTCTCAGCGATCGAGAGCCTAATTAACAATAAAATAAATGGAATACGTATACCAAAAGAATTATAAACGAAATTACCATTTTGTCAACCTTAATCGCGTAATTTATAGGTGCAGGGGAAGGATATTTTGGACTTTTGGGCAGTGCGTCTAGCAGTCTAGCAGACGCCATTGCTCTGTGTCTTGAGTAAAGAAAATGACGTTTCTTATGAAAGATACAAAAAGGAAATCCCCGCCGGAGAAATCTCACCGACGCCGACGGAGAAGGCTGTTGAGTCTTTTTTTTCTTTTTCAAAATTTGAAATTCGATACTTAGAAATGAGAGGAGATCAAGATCTAGCCATTACCATGTAGTATTATTTGTAAAAATAAAATTAGAGAGAAAAAATTAAAACCTTCTGGACTGGTTTTACTGACAAATTTCCGGTGACGGAACCTGGCAGAAACCAGAGGTTTCTCCGCTGGTAAGAGAATCTCAATTGGAATCTCCGACGAATCCATCCCCCTCAGCGGATTCCACTCAGATTTTGAGGTCACCAATTCATCATTATTTCGAGCACACCGAGCCAGTGATGGAAAGCTTGGACCTTTAATAGATGATTCAGGACGTTTCTACAAGCCTCTGCAGGTTGGTGAACTTGGCTCCAGAGAGGTGGCCTTCTATAGGGACTTCTCAACCAATGCAGAGATTCCAGATTACATCCGCAAATTCTTTCCTGTTTTCTATGGAACTGAGACGGTAGAGGCATCTAATGGGTCTGGTTTGTGCTCCCACCTCGTCTTGCAGGATCTTGTCTCCGGTCGCTACAATCCATCTGTCGTGGACATTAAAATTGGATCTAGAACCTGGTATCCTGAAGCCTGTGAGGATTGTATTGAAAAGTGCTTGAAGAAAGATAGAAAGAGTACCAGTGTGTCATTAGGGTTCAGAATATCTGGGTTGCGTGTATTTGAAAGCAAGGAATCTGGATTCTGGAAACTAGGGAAAAAGCAAGTGTCAAATTTCACTTCGAGGATGTTAGATTAGTTCTGAGGAAGTTTGTTTCATCTAATCCTTCTGTCTATTCAAAAAAACCCAAATTGTTCACTTGCACATAGTGTTTATGGTGGTTCATCTGGAATTTTGGCACAATTATTGGATCTAAAAGCATTGTTTGAGAATCAAACCATCTATCATTTCCATTCTTGTTCGTTTCTCATGTTTTGTGAAAACTGAAAAGGAGAAATTGCTGGAAGAAAGAACTTCTGTTGCCGAAATCTAACTTGTAGATTTTGCCCATGTTTTGGAAGGCGCAGGTGTAATTGATCATAAATGGCCTTCAGTTTGGTTAGAATGATCTAGTCCATCTAGTTTGTGATGTTGGTATTGTCAGCTGCTAATTTCTTATTATAAGAGTATTGGTAAATTTTTTCCTTTTTTTTTTTTTTGGACAATTTTGCAAGGGACCGATCTAAACCGTTGTCCAGGGGTGCATTTTAACATGACTTGATGTCAGCGGTCCGAAAGCCCCAATGCATAAGAGTATTGGTAAATTAAATTAATATAATGATAAAAAAATACATATTATCTTATAAAAATTGTAAATTAATTAATTATTAAAATTAATTATTTTTAATTTTATTTAAATAATTATAATTAAATGATTTCAATAAATTAATTAAGTTAATTAAAAAA